AAACCTTATAGTATAAAATACAATACTAACAACATAAAAAGGAAAGTAAAACATGAAATACCAAAATAAAACAATGTCATTACAAAAATGTTTGTTGATATTCAGTAGTAAAGTTCGACTTATGACCGAACTCGATGGTAGGTGTACTTCAATATGACATTAATATCAACTCTATTTCTTATTTATCGATCACAATTCATCTAATTTCACCATCACTCAAGGAATGCACAACAGGTGCATCATTGTCAATGTTCAGCATTAACTTTATTAGCACACAGTCAAGATGAGTAAATAGAATTGATTGCTTGGGTACATTTATTCTTTTAGTGGGTTGGATTTGTGAAGGACCTGCTTAGTATGGGCCAACAGGCCACCTGCAGTATATTATTATTAATTTAGGGAACTGGAGCACAGATTAAGAGTCCCTCACTTGAGGGGGGTAGGCTACTTTATTCCAAAACATAGTAGAGTTCTGTTCCAGTCTGAAATAGGCGACAGTTATATACTGTCGGAAGGGAGAATGTATTCACGTTCCTCTTGGATACAACAATTCTCACTTAGTTGTCCAAGGTGTTTTCTCTTCTGTACCAAGATACCATTGTGTTAGTTCCCCTGTGCTATATAATATACTGTATTGTCATTTGGGGGTCTAGAATGGATTATAATTATTATTCTGTATGGGAAAAATTGCTTTAGTAGTCTGACATTGGAATGAATTAAATTTGGACATATATACCCCCCCCCCCTCACACCAGAAAAAAAAAAAAAACATTTATGGCATTTACAAAAAAGTCCCCAGTGTTGATTTCATGGCATTTATCTACATTAAATTTGATCACCTATTATTGCTCAATTTATCCTTATAGGTTTAGTACTCTTTTTTATTATAATCCTATTGAGATGTAGTCTTTATTATGCCAAAGATTTTTTGCAAACATGTTTATTCTTTCAGGTTGGGCAAGTACAGATCCTTTCTATGAGGACATTTTTTTTTTTTCTTTTACTACAACAAGTTTTTCTCAGTCCCTAATCCATTTTAAGTTTATCCTTCGTATATTTTGAAGTTTTCAAATTACTTTTATTGGGGGAACTATTTATTTATAGATGATACAGAGAAGTACAATTATTAAAGTGCAATATGCCAAAGCCCCTTGTATGCAGAGCATTATGGGCAGGCTTAAAATTAACTAAGTAATGATGTATTCAGTGGTAAAAACATTATTGTAAACAGGTAACAATTTAGCACAAATGAGTATTATAAAGACAGGTCATATGGTCATTTACTGTGCATTCAGTATTCTGTTAGGTAATGTAATTAAAAAATAACAAAGTTTGATTGGGTCACAGGTTAGACATTTATGAGATACAATTATTCAGTTGTGGGTGAGTAAGTGATTTTTGAGAAGAGACTTGAATTTATAAACAGACAGTATTTCTTTTATATTCACAGGTAATGAATTCTAGATTTTAGGGCCTTTTATGTACATTGAGTGAGATGGATACGAGGAACATCAAAGAGTCATCTGTGCCTTGTGTTATGGGAGGGTTTATATCAGATTTAAGTGTTCTATGTATGTAGTAGGTGCAGTAATAAGTATGGATGTTTTGTAGGTTTAGAGTTTTGGTGGAGTGTGCTGCCTGTAGTGGGAATTTGTTATTCTGACTGCAGCCTTTTGTTGGGTAATTAGTCGTCTAAGATGGTTTGTTGAGCCCTATGCACAAATTCCATAGGTGAGGTAGGGGTAAATGAGTGATATAGGGCCAGGAGGGCTGACTGTGGAACATAGTACTCTATCTTTGATAGTATGCCTACGGTCTTGGAAATTTGTTGTATTTGTGTTTGAAATTTGAGTCTATTATCAAGGTGGATTCCTAAGAATTTTCCCTCTGAGCTTTGTGATCCGTTTATCATTATTTTAAGAGGGACATCTGTAGCTCTGTTAATGAATTAGGTTTTGTCAATGTTTAGAATGAGTTTATTAGTCCTCATCCAGGTAGATATTTTCTTTAATTCAGTATTGGCTAGCGTGACTGGGCTCAGGTGAGAGAAGACGTATGTAGTGTCATCTGCAAATAGTGTGGGTTTTAGTTGCGATGCATTTGGTAGGTCGTTTATATATATGAGAAAGAGAAGAGGGCCTACGACACTTCCCTGTGGGACTCCAACTGTAATTGGCTGTGTGGAAGAGTTTGCCCCATTTGTGTACACATATTGGTTGCTGAGGTATGACCCTCTTATACCATAGTGTGACAATTTTATGTGGAGCAAGTCATGGTCAACTACAGTGGACCCCCCCCATAACGATTACCTCCGAATGTGACCAATTATGTAAGTACGTTTATGTTTGGGGGTCTGAAATTGACTAATCTACTTCACAATATTTCTTATAGGAACAAATTCGGTCAGTACTGGCACCTGAACATACTTCTGGAGAGAAAAAATATCGTTAACCGGGGGTCCACTGTATATCAAAAGCTTTTTGTAAGTCAATGAAGATTCCCCAGTGGGACTAACTTTTTCTCTATTACAGTGCATAATAATATCATTACTAGGTCTGAACCCAAACTGACAGGGGTTGTGGGAGATGAGGTAGGAATAGATTCACTTATGAATTAATTTTTTTAAGATTTTAGAGAGAGGGTGCAAGTTGGATATTGGCCTCTAGTTATTCAAGTCTGGTCACATCGTTTATGGATCGGGGTGGCCCTTGCTATTTTGAGAACTGTAGGGAAGGTAGAGGATTCAATGGATGTGTTAAAATGATTTGTGATGCTTTTTTGTATATAAAGGGTGGTAAGGTATTTAAATCTCCTATCTTGTTTTTTTTAATG